ATAATCGAAAACATTAGTCGATTCTTCATTTGAAATGGAAGCCTCAGAATAAGAGTGTATCATAAATTCATGCACATAAGCAACACCAGAATTACTATTTTGAGACAACATATGATCATTTATTCTTTTACGATGATCAATACTTACGATTTGAACTCGATTCCTCCTATCCGCCTGCCTTCGATTTTGTTGTTGGCGAATGAAATCGTTATATGATTTACTTATGCTTTCGAAAATACTTTCAAGATTAATAAAATCAGGCTCTTCATTACCAGTTTCCAGAGAATTCATCAGGAAAATAAATATACCACTAATCTGAATAAAATAGAAAAAAATTTATTAGTCAAACAACGAACAAATAATAATAATACCAACTTTAGCATAATGTGAAATAAAATTGATGGATAGAAGTCAGATCTTGCACAATGTTAACGAAGGGAAATCAGATTAAAGTAAAAATATGTACAAAGAAAATAGTAAAGTCCATCGCACTGCCTCAGGAACAGTATGAAGTTAGGTCTGAGAAATTGAAAGTGAAAAACATGATGTTTTAGGCTAATAAATAAACGTACTACATAAATTTATAGTTAAGAACCTGGATAGTTCAATTGGAGGAACTTACCCATGATAAAGTGCACTTCTGTAGTCAATTACAACCACGAAGAAATACAATTGGACACTATATACAAGAGAAGAATAAATACAAATTAGAGTCCACAATTTGTCAATAATAGTTGAATGATAAATATTATAACAGACACTTTATGAAAAATAAAAAAATACAAAGTCTAACTAAAAATTAAACTCTACAAAATCTTAAAAAGAAGAACAAAAATATCATACATGAAGATATCACACTTCAATTGATGTTGAAATTTTTAATATTTTTACTTTCAGAATGATATCTTGCAAACTAAAAAAAAAAATTGAAAACAAATTCCATATTGACAAAATCAGGAATCATTAAAATTATGACTAGCTAAAGAAAATTATAATAAAATAAAAAATCGAAGTGTGTGAAGTAAACTTGTTAGAGGTAACACGAAATAACACAAATGAACAGACAAAAACAGCAAAAAAATGTATTTAGCCCAATTGCTTCTTCAATGTTGAATTTCATTTTCATTACTATGTATCTTTAGAACTTTTGACAAATTGATGTGAATTTTAGAATGTACAAACACACTAACAGACGGATTGCACCTTAAGAAAACAAACGTTTTTCTTATTTTTTGAACAACCAAAAACTCTTAAATACTAAAAGAATAGATAACTTACTGGCGAGCAGTCCCTTAATGTGGTGCGCTATAAAGCAAAATAAATAAATATTGAAAATAATGAAGTAAGAAATATTAAGTGCCGTTTTGACTTAGCAAACGAACTCAAACATCCAAAATCCCTCATACGTTACCGCAAAGCAGTGAGTTCAATGGGAATAGTCGCGAGCTTTCCAGAATGGGGTCATGGGCCCAAAATGGACACTGTATGCAAAAGTTACGCCATTTTCTTCCAAATATATTAATGGAAAGCTAAATTATTGTGAAAGTTCAGTAAGTTTCTATGTAATATAATAATTAGTAAAATTTCTAATGCTAGGGAAATGCAAATGTAGGTTTGACAACACCCTCGACGGGAACGACCTTCCCGATCAGGTCTCGGGGGTTCGGGGGCAACGCCCCCGACGGGGATTGACCTGCCCGGTCAGGTCGAGGGGGGCAACGCTCCCGAAAGGAAATCTGATTTGTAAACGATTGTGATATTTTATAATTTTTATTAATGTTTTTGAATTAAATTATTAATAAGTGTTTGTAAATTTGGTTAATATTATTTATAGAAATTTATGGTATATTATTATTGTTTGCACGGTATTAATAAAAAAAAAAAAAAAAGGGTCCGAATGCTCCGCACCTCTGCTCTGTGCGGAGCATGAACTCCGCACACTGCGGAGCAAACCATAAAAAAAAAATGTCCCTACAAAAAGTCAACAATTGTAGGCATATAAATTAATTGAAAAATGATCTTTCCAAATTACCCTTAACCCACGTGTGAATAGTGGGAGAAAGATAGGGGTAGTTGGTGTAAATAGTATAGGATGAATATGGGGCAATTTGGACTAACGAAAATGCTTCAAAATGAACAGTACTCGGCATGGTGGGAGCAATTTGGGACAACGAATATACTTCAAAACAAATAGTACTCGGCGGATTCACTCTTTTAATATAGTAGAGATAAAACGTAATACTGATGAAACTTTCGTGCAGTCCAAGCATTAAGCATAAATGTCCAGCACCCTATACCAAGATATTTTTATACAAATTGAGAATAAGGCAATATTGCAACGTTTTCAAAAAATGAGACCATGTAGAATACAGTTGTCTAAGTTTACTGTTACAGAGTATGATTGTATTTTATTTTATTTTTAGTATTTTGGGTTGTAATGAATTATAGTATATACTTTTTTACGTTTTAGTGCATTTACTTATGTATTGAATTTTATTTTCGGCTATTACAATCATTGATCGGTCAACGGTCAACAGCCATTGGTCAGCAGTCAACGATCTCCACCTTAGCTGAACGAAAATGCTGGATCCACCCCTGTCCACCAACAACAAGTTTTCCTTTGAGACTTTTAACTTTGAGCTCCACCATAAACTTTTTAAGTGTATTAGTCATACATCTCAATCGCAGCCATAACACACTATCACAGCATCTATATTGGTGTAACTGAAATACATTCATAGAGCTTTCAAAGCAATGATAATGATTTACGGGGTGAAGATTACTTCTTAAAGATGAGGGATGCATTTCCTTTTTAAGAGCACGATCATGTGTTACCGTATAGTTTACACTAACTGAAATTTGTATCGACAAAAAAGATGCACAAGTTCAATAGTAATCCATTACAAAATTGTCAAATACAAACCCGTGTTGAAAAGAAATGTCGTACAGAATGAGAACTTATAATAAAGAGAAAAAACATGTGGAACTTCAAAATTATTATGGCGTATCCTTAGACCCATCATTTTCTTTCAACCTTTTTCTTGCGTAACCCAAAAGCTGTATTAAATATACCATTGGTCGGCTGGTTGCACACAAAGCACTTCTTACTTTTTGCATGGTGCTGTAAACTAAGAAATAAAGTCGTAATTAGATAACATAAACGCGATATGTACCCTTTTTTTAAAGTTTCAAGCACTGCTTATTGCATGGTAATACAAGCAATGAATTGAAATCATGATTCATAAAAAGAAATTTGATATATACCTTTTCATGTAGTTTCTTTATGGGAGGGTGGTTTTCTTTCTTTCTTTTCCTTTTTTTTGAAAAATTTTCTCGGGACGGGGTTGAGGGATTGCAATTAGAGTTAAATGTTTCATTGGCCACCAAACTTTATACTTTGCCACAGATTACTCACCGAACTTTACACTTCACCACGAATCACTCACGAACTTTAGAAATTGTCTCAATGGCCACTGAACTCATCTCCGTTGCACTCAATTACTCACCGATTTAAATTCATCAATGAATGAGACTAGATGGATAACAGAATATCTGCATGGGCTGTTAAGTTCTTAAGTGGAAGATCCACATAGTCAAACACGCCTTGTTATTGACATACTAAACTCACGATCCCCCCTCCCCCCTCAAATTGAATTGAGACGACCAAATCCCTACTCCTCACTTCTTCGATGGCCTCAACCAATTGACCTCTCCGACAGCAACACCTCCGGTGCTACATTTCCGGAGGATAATATTCACACAACAATTCAAGCTGAAAAATTAGTGCTTTATACGAATAATATTCTCACAAAAAATCCCATGCTTCGCACATATGCTTATTGTTTGTTCAGATTTAGACACCATGCATAAAAAAATCATGAACAATAAAAAAATTTATGGGAAAAGGCATCTTTATTATACAAATCCTCCTTAAAAACCTTTAAAATAGCACAAATTCAATTGCACCAGAGATGGAGTCTGTCGGGGATGTGGCGATGTAGGTGTTTTCGTCGAAGTGGTAGTCGATGCCACCGCATAGGTCAGTTGGTTGAGGCCACCGGAGAAGTGAGGAGTAGGGATTTGGTCATCTCAATTCAATTTGGGGGAAACATGAGTTTAGTATGTCAATAACCAAACATGTTTGGGTACGTGGATCTTCCACTTAAGCACTTAACTTTCCACATAGATATTCCGTTGTCCAGCTGGCTAGATTCATTGACGAATTTAAGTTGGTGAGTAATTGAATGCAACATAGATAAGTTCAATGGCCATTGGAACGATTTCTAAAGTTCAGCGAGTAAGTTGTGACGAAATGTAAAGTTCAATGGCAAGTGAAACATTTAACTCCATGTATCCCCTTATACAATTTTTTATTGTCGTCGCTCCTTTTCTTCCCTTTTAAAGCCTCTTCATATCTCTATAGAACTCTCTCCCTAATAGCCCAAGTATCTCTAGAGAATTCCGTCTCAGTTTCCAACGTTGCTGTTGCTCTACTATCATTCTGAACCTGAATTTCTTTAGAGAACTCGTATTCAAAATTTGGGACTTTGTTTCTAGGTCAGACTCAACATCATAGAACCCTTGGTAGGCTCACTAGAGAAGTGCAGTTTATTGTCAACAACAGTTAGCTTCTTATTGTATGTCACTACACTCTCGATTTTAGAATCTTCACCCTCATTCTCTCCCTCTTCCACAGCAGTCATTTTTCGGATGTTTTTTTTTCTTGGATGGCTTTTTGAAGAAAGTGCAGACCACAAAACACAAAAGTAATTCAGAAAACTAAATCTAAGATATCAGACCACAAATTTCAATGAGAGAATAGTAGAAATGAAAATTACACGAGTCTCCGTTGCTCGAATATTTCAACTAGGATAGCATGTCCGCATTGGACATGTGTCGAATATCGATACTTCTTCAACATTCTACAATGATCATTTTCTTTTTTATTAGAAATATTATATATTTTTAACTCAATGTTATTAATAAGAATAATGCTATTTATCATTGTAATGATGTAATATAGGTAATGGGACAACTTAGGTGTAATAATAAGATATGATAATCTAATCCCCAACTCTCTTGGGAAATTCGAGCAGTCCCATTTCATTATTCCATATAAGTTGTCACATCACCGATGGTCTATCATTATAATAATAATTAGCATTCTCAATTAATAAATAATAAATATGTACTCATATTTAAAAGATTTCAACAAAGAAAAATTAAAAACAAATATAAAGCTAAATTTATATTATATAAATGAAGAATAATAAAGAATTTAATCAACAGGTCACCGACATGTCGTGTCAGTATTTTTTAAAAAAAATCATGTGTCATGTTGAACACACATATCCGTAACAATGCATCATAGCTTTTGTCTATTGGATTTGGGACCGGAGTATATTTAAAATTAAATAGGTATAAATATTTGCCTAATTTATAAAACACTAGTTTTCTGCCAGTTCAATGCATGGACTATGTTATTTTTAAGGTAACGCTAGTATTTCGAACGTTAAGAATTGATGGGAGATATGTGTGTTGGACTAGGTTAGCAAAATAAACTTAATTCGACGATGTAAATTTTCATATGATTTACACATAAAATACAGCTGCGAAGCATTCGAAGAGCATGAAGAAATCAATAAAACTTCAACTTAGACATAAAACAATTACCAAACAAGAGCGATGCATTTCCTCCACGTCTATTTTTGTACATAATTTTTAAATTTAAGATACATACTTAGAAGATCTACCTTCAAAATTCAAAACAAAGAATTCAAAGGGTAATATAAATAAAGAAAAAGTATTACATGAGAAGTTCCGTGCCCGTTTATATCTGCGACTCAATTATTGAGGGTCATTAAAGATAAATATATGTAATATAGTCATTGTTTGTGCCTCATTTTTCCATCAAAATATATTCTTGAACAGTAATTTGACTCAATTTCAATCGCACATTCTTCAATAAAATAATATTACACTCAAATTCAAAAAAAAATTATTATTTTTTAACCGCACATTCTCCATCATAATATTTATTACAAATTTTTTGAAAAAAATGGATCTCGAACAAGGGCTACAATAAAAAAAAGGAATAGTCACATTAATGGTGAAGGTTTTGCTCCCATGTCCTAGTTTATGTTTTGCCCAAGAACTAGAAGTTCTTGATATAGTTATTAACTTATTAGACCATAAAAATCAGGTCAGAGAAAATTCAAATATGAAAAGTAAAAGGCTGATCCGAACTCCTAAGAGTATTCTCCTGCATCAAATGGCCACCTTATTTGCTAGAAGCAGCTAATGGCAACTTATTTTTGTTCTTTGCCATTAGTTCTATCCATTTCTTAATGCCTTAATTTCTTTTAGACCGTGTCTGGGAGAGATTTTTCGAAACTTTTAAGCCATTTTATGATCGTTGACAACTCAAAAGTGGGTCTCATGACTCTCATCATGCCTTCCCAATAAATTGTCACCATTTTCAAATATGCCCTTTAAGAATAGTCAAATATGATCCTAAAAGAAATGTGTATAAGTAATTCAAACTAATAGAAATGGTACTATAGACTTTTATCATTTTCAGGTGATAATTTCAAATGATAGCATTAAATACCTGACAGCAATGAGATCCACTTCTGAGTTGCCAATGGTCATAAAATGGCTTCGAATCTTAAGGAAATCATTCCCAAACAGATGCTTAATAGGTGCGAAGTCTAAACAACGAAAGGATAAACATCGTCTAAGAAATAAAACACATTTTGAGTGCTAAACAGCATCAATAATAGGTTGGGGCACCCTATATCAAAATAAAATGGCGTATGCTTATTTTCAAGCACTCACTTTGGTGTACAAGCAAGTGTCGAAACACTTTTGATGTGTTCATAGTGTTTAGAAGGAAAACACCAAACAACCCCTAACATGAACCACCAAAAATGCAAACCAATGTAAAGCATGAAGTGACAAAAAAAATGCCTCGAAGCACTTTGTATTTAGCCCACAATTGCCTTGCCGACCCCATTGTGGACCCCACACACATGTGAGAGGGTTGTGTACCAAGTGTGTACAAGTAGCAAATGTGTTGCCTTCAATGACAAAGGAGAAGTGTTTCTCTCAAATAAATTTACCCGCAACCTTGCCCTTCTTTCTTCTTTTCTCTGGGAGACATAGAGCGGCTTACTGATCACCGTTTTCCCATTCATCTATTTTTCAGTTCTAGTTCTCTCTCAGATTTTTTCTGAGCTTTCCCGACTTACCATTTCTCATCACCAAATTTCTTACCATTTAGAGCTTCAACCGCTTAAGCGGCATCATCAGCATTCATTCTCGAAGTGGACAAAACCAAACCATTTTGACTTCCCATCAGCATCCATCATCACTACAGCACTGGTAATTGCTCCATGCTCGCCAAAAAAATTCTTTAGATCATATACCAAACTGAAAAGAAATAACATGCCAATTCAAAAAGTAACAAGCATCCAATCGGTCAAGTCAGATATAACCATAGAAGTAAAGCAGTCGAGCGCAAAAACCTTTATAAATATGTTTGAAACCTCACAACTGTCAAGGACTAATGATCTCAATATAGTGCAGCCACCTTCATCACTGAAAACTTCGCAAATAGAGTTTGTCAATGATTCACATTCAGTAAGGTCTACTTCTTGCAAGAACGGGCATTGCAATGCCAACGAGGTCAAACTTTCTTGCATCTGCAAAAATTAAAAAAATTAGAAACTGTAATTGATGACAACACGCTGCTTCTTAGATTGAAATCAACAAATCTGCAAGCATGACAATACAGAGTCATTCTCAGCAGAAGTGCTGTAGTACACCAGATGTTAAGGCTCAGAAATCAGGGTAGCAAGAGTAGAACATACTCGCGACAATGCACAAGCCTTATGTTCTCCAGGCGTGGCAGGTCCAATGATACCGATGTCAATTAGCTGCAATTATCGAACTCAAGAACCTACAATACACAGAAAAATCCAGATTTTAACAACCTTAACAAGTATACATTAGATAAACCATCCTATCATAACAGTTGGGAAACAAAGAATTGCTCAAGAATAACATTCAAACCTTTAACGAGTAACTATGAGATATGGCAGCCATTGAAGCTGATGTTATACCCTCACAGCTGTGAAGCTTAAGGACTATCAACGTTGGAAGTCTCCAGACTTGAAAGGGAAACAAGAAATCAGCCAGCTTATACACATTAATATATACTATTAAAAGAGAGAGTAAAAGAACTACACCTCAAGAGAGATGTTTGGGCAGTATGAAACATTAAGGATGGAGCATGAAGTGACAAAAAAAATGCCTCGAAGCACTTTGTATTTAGCCCACAATTGCCTTGCCGACCCCATTGTGGACCCCACACACATGTGAGAGGGTTGTGTACCAAGTGTGTACAAGTAGCAAATTTGTTGCCTTCAATGACAAAGGAGAAGTGTTTCTCTCAAATAAATTTACCCGCAACCTTGCCCTTCTCTCTTCTTTTCTCTGGGAGACATAGAGCGGCTTACTGATCACCATTTTCCCATTCATCTATTTTTCAGTTCTAGCTCTCTCTCAGATTTTTTCTGAGCTTTCCCGACTTACCATTACTCATCACCAAATTTCTTACCATTTAGAGCTTCAACCGCTTGAGCGGCATCATCAGCATTCATTCTCAAAGTGGACAAAACCAAACCATTTTGACTTCCCATCAGCATCCATCATCACTACAGCACTGGTAATTGCTCCATGCTCGCCAAAAAATTTCTTTAGATCATATACCAAACTGAAAGGAAATAACATGCCAATTCAAAAAGTAACAAGCTTCCAATCGGTCAAGTCAGATATAACCATAGAAGTAAAGCAGTCGAGCGCAAAAACCTTTATAAATATGTTTGAAATCTCACAACTATCGAGGACTAATGATCTCAATATAGTGCAGCCACCTTCATCACTGAAAACTTCGCAAATAAAGTTTGTCAATGATTCACATTCAGTAAGGTCTACTTCCTGCAAGAACGGGCATTGCAATGCCAACGAGGTCAAACTTTCTTACATCTGCAAAAATTAAAAACTGTAATTGATGACAACACGCTGCTTCTTAGATTGAAATCAACAAATCTGCAAGCATGACAATACAGAGTCATTCTCAGCAGAAGTGCTGTAGTACACCAAATGTTAAGGCTCAGAAATCAGGGTAGCAAGAGTAGAACATACTCGCGACAATGCACAAGCCTTATGTTCTCCAGGCGTGGCAGGTCCAATGATACCGATGTCAATTAGCTGCAATTATCGAGCTCAAGAACCTACAATACACAGAAAAATCCAGATTTCAACAACCTTAACAAGTATACATTAAATAAACCATCCTATCATAACAGTTGGGAAACAAAGAATTGCTCAAGAATAACATTCAAACCCTTAATGAGTAACTATGAGATATGGCAGCCATTGAAGCTGATGTTATACCCTCACAGCTGTGAAGCTTAAGGACTATCAACATTGGAAGTCTCCAGACTTGAAAGGGAAATAAGAAATCAGCCATCTTATACACATTAATATACTATTAAAAGAGAGAGTAAAAGAACTACACCTCAAGAGAGATGTTCGGGCAGTATGAAACATTAAGGATGGTGAGATTTACATAGACCATAGCNACATATTAATATATACTATTAATAGAGATAGTAAAAGAACTACACCTCAAGAGAGATTTTTGTGCAGTATGAAACATTAAGGATGGTGAGATTTACATAGACCATAGCTATTTCAAGTACTGTCTCATAACTAACACAAGAACAGTCAGATATATCCAAGGATTCCAAGAGTGGGCATGACGTTGCTGTTGATCGAATTGCAACATCTGAAAGCTTGCGACAAAAATGAACAGTTTTTTTTGGATTTTCTTTTAAAGGGGAGGGGATTTTTATTTTCCATTTTAAGACATTGTTGTAGGTCAGGAAACATTTTGACATATATGTAAACTTTAACAACGCGATATAGGCAAGGGCCCAACACGTGCATGTAGATGAAGTCCATTAAAAACAACACTTTTTCGAAAGTGAATCACATCGTTCAAGCTAAAATTTAAAATTTGTGATTAAAATTAATTATTTACTTTAACTTAAATTAAAATTTAGATTTTAATTGATACTAAACAGAAGCTAAATACAGTGGAGCGATAAAAGCCTAAAATCAATTTACTCCCCTAAGCAATTGTCATTTCCTCTCATTTCAAAGAGAAAAAGGACCTCCTACAATGTTAGGTTTAGACCCACGTTTCTTAGGGTTTTTATTTTTAGCTTTTGAAAAGAGTGTTTGGGAGAGATTTTTGAAAGAAAAAATAAGGAGATGTTCTCTTCGTGTTTCAGTTTTGTGTTTTTAGTTTTGAATTCATTTTGAGTTTTGTGTTTTGGGTGTCCATTTTGAGATTATTGAAAACGTATTCTTTTTGCCATTTTTTAAAAAATTGTTTTGAAAACGCGTTTTGAAAATTTTGGCAAAGTTATAACTGAAAACACTTAAAACGACACATTTTTCGTTTTTGGTTTTCTTTGTAAATTTTAAACTTGTTTACAAAAATGTGTTTTCGAAATTAGGAAAGAGAACGCGTTTTCACTGTTTTAAAAATTCGAAAATAGAAAACGGTTTGAAAACAGAAAGAGAACAGACCCTAAACTTATCTAAGAAAACTATCACTAACGGTCGCAAAATGTATCTTATTTCTAAAAATTTTGAATATCGATCTCAAGTTAGGAAGCAAAATCTAGATTAAGTAAGTAGATGTAATGATTTTACCGAGGACGTAAAATAAATATCTGTTGAGAACTCGACGTGAAACATGTCAAGATGAAATATCGAATCCGGAATACCATGGGGATATAGGAAATTTGGATGGATTTTGGTAGATGTGAATAAATAATTCTTCCTTCAATAAATGTACTTGAATTTTGTTCAAAATAAAGTCACAATCAATCCTAATATCAATATCAATTATTCTTTAGGATTTTATAATCTCCACATTTCCTCATCAAGTATTTTCCCAATATAACTCACCCAAGCCCACCCCCATTTCACCATCTCCAATTTCCCCCAAAACGCACACTGCAACAAAATCAAATCCTTAAGTTTTCGATTTTGTTGGCAAAATACGCACGACGCACGCACGCACACAGAGTCTCTCTCCCTCTCTCCCCCAAATTCCATTTCTAGTCCGGAAAGAAGAACAAATAAAATAGGAAAAGAAAAAAAAAAGCACCCCTTTTTCTTTTGCTCTGTGCGATTCCACGATCCTTTCAGTTTTTATATAAAAAATTGAATTGCGTGTTGAAGAGAGAAGGCCAGAAAATACGGAGGGCTCTCAACTTTAATTTAATTATTGTCCTTTTGTTGGAGTTTGTTTGATTTCGTCGACATTGCACTGATTTCTGAATCTCTTCACTTAGGGTTCTGTTATTCTCGAACTTTTGAAATTTTGATCAAGTATTTTTCTGTTGGATCGCTTTTTATTATTATTTCTTTTTTCCAATTTTCCTGCCGTATAAAAGAAAGTTTTTTTTTTAACCTTTACTTGAATTTTATTGACATCAATTCTAATAATTAGTGTAAAATTACTGTTATTAGTATCTCAGTTATATGGGCGCATCTCTGTAATTGAATTGACGCCTCTACTTTTCTTTCCTGGGTCCTATATACACAACAACATACCGCCTCTACTATTTCAGTGAATGGCAGAACAAGAGGGATGGGCGGACCCAAGCGGGCCATTGCCAAATGGGCTGTTGTCAGGAGCAGGCCCGGTGATGCGTGCGCTTGAAACGGACAGATGGTTGAAAGCGGAGGACAGGACGTCAGAGCTCATTGCCTGCATTCAACCCAATCCGCTATCTGAGGACCGCAGGAATGCTGTTGCAGATTATGTACAGCGGCTGATCATGAAATGCTTTCCCTGTCAGGTTGTTACAAATTCGTTGCCCCTCCTTTTACTTATTCTGCAAAGAAGTTGTTCCATAATTTGGTTTGACAGGTTTATAAATGGCAATAATGGTATATTGGCATTTGCGGAAATAGGAAATAGAACCATGAAGCCTATATAATTTGCTTTAACTGGATTAATGCTTGAATTCAACATATGAAAAAAAGGACACTACGATAATAATTGTTTTATGTAGACATTGATATTATTATGAGACTGTGATTATATTTTTGTGTTGGAAGTTATCTCTTGAATGTTGATTTTGGCATCACGGTAGTTGTAGTTTTGACTAGTGTTTTGATGCTTGAAATGAAGTCATGGTTTTAAAAAGTATTTTCAGGATTTACACCTTGAATTCTGCTCTCGTGTGAGGCTATCATAAAAAGCGTTAAAACCCACACCCTAAATGCCATTTATGAGACTTATGCACTGATTTACCTTGGTTTACACGGCGACTAGTGAGGCTCAAGCCAACTAAGGTGTTCGCTGGCTTGCCTTGCATTTTTTAAACATTTAATTATCGGCATTAGCTTTTTTTTTCCCCCCTTTACAACCTAAAATATTTTATGAATTCTCGTATTTCGTTTTTCTACCTACACAGAAGAAAAATGGGAAGGGAAATACACCATTGCAGTTGGAGGAGGATGAGGATGATGACAAAGAATGAAAAGAAACTTATGATGAGGATGATGATTATGATTTTAATGATTCCCGTATTAGTAGTGTGATATAAGAAATTTTGAGTTATCTCCACTTATAGTAGTTGATTATAATTTTGTTACATAATTACTTATTTGTTAATTTATTATTTTCTATTTTCTTTATCTATTTTTTTTATTAAGTTTTAAAATGGATTGTTTTAAAAGGGTTTATGGTATATTAAGAGCTTATTTTTGTATTTTTGTTCTTTGAATTCCTTTATGGTTCTATCTTGAGGCTTACGCTTCACATTGCCTCTTGGAGATAAAATGCATCAATACCCAATTAAGCCTTTTTAAACATTGAATGCGGTTTTTTGATCCATATAGTCCCAATTTTTTATAGCCGAACAGAAGTTAGTACGATTGCTGGGTAAATCTGGTAGATTTAAAATATTTGTTTTTAGTGGTTTGGTGGTAAGAGTTAGTGCAAGAAAGCAATGATACAAATTTAGGGGAAACACCTTTAGAAGGAACAAAATAGTAAGAAAATAAAATCCAACTTTCTATAAAATTTTCTTACGAAGTTTTATTTATCCAAAATTGTCCAGTGTTTGAAGATGAAAAATTTCTCCTAATTTAGAGCTTGTTTGGTAGAGATTAAAATCGGATTAAAATAAAAAACTAGCCGTTATTGTTGACTTTTATTAAACAAGTGAGACTCAATAACGGCTATATTTTCAATTTTAATTGGATTAAAATCCCTCCCAAATAAGCTTTTACTTATGACATTTGTGCCTAAAATATTTGTTCGTGTATATGAGTGACTTTGTAAGGGAGGGAACGTGCGGAAGTGATTCATGGTGTTATACTTGGGATTTTTTGTATGTATATCAAGACACGAGAAGAAGAGAAAGAATAAGATGAAAAAATTCAAGCTGGTCAAGCTGAAGACCGAGTTGTCCTACTACTCTGATGGAAGGTTATCTTTAATGGGGGTAACACTGACAATTTGATAGTTTTTAAGTCGGATCACAGATGAAGAATAATTTGATGAAAAAAGAAGAAGGCCATTTTCCTTCCTGACCTTCAAAGTAAGGTCTTTTGGAGAACTTCCCCATAATATCATAGTACTTTTGAAAATCAACTTTTGTAATAGATGTCCATGGGGATATGTGAAATTTATGTTAGTAGAAGCAGTGGTTAAATCAATTACTTCGATGAATGGCTAATATTTTGAAACTCACATTTATGAGTAAGTAGAATAGCTGTTGTTGAGATGGGGAAAGTATTTTACCATAATTGCCAAACATGGAGAAGTTGGTAGTATTACGTACTGCAAAACTCTGTTATAATTGATCTGTGTCCCCTGGTACAATTAGTTGGAATTGTTCTTTATTTTAAATTTATATTTCATATGTTCAATTATTCCATTTTTTTGTTTCCTTGTTGCTCATATTATTTTACCATATATATTTTTTCACAGGTTTGTACCTTTGGTTCTGTACCCCTGAAGACTTATTTACCTGATGGAGACATTGATTTGACTGCTTTCAGCCATGATCAAAATTTGAAAGATACATGGGCCAGTCAAGTTCGTGACATGCTAGAGAACGAGGAAAAGAATGAGAATGCTGAATTTCATGTGAAGGAAATCCAGTATATTCAAGCAGAAGTATGACGTCCATTCCTAAATTCTTGTACTTCTGATGTGTTGATTTTGATTGTGTTGAGAATCCATCTTCAAGGTCTTGAGCATATATCTCTCTTCTTTGCTTCAAAAATATCATTGACTGTGTGACTTAGTTGTTTTGCTGCATTTTACATGTATACTTTTGTCAAAGCTTTTGGCTTTGCATTTATCCCACCTAGAATGATTTTCTGTTGGTTTCTATCACCATATGTAGTCCCTATGAGTAGAAGAAAGCCGACTGGATACCAGGAATTTCCCTATATCAAATCTTGCTGTTTTCTAGGATGAGTAGAGTTGTGTTCGCAGGAGCACTGCAATAAGGTTATGCACCACAGTCACTAGTGAAGAATTATTCTGAATTGTTGTCTGCAGCCTCTCCTGCAGAAACACCTCATCCTGCATATGTTTGTGCTTTGCTGGAGAATTATACTGAATCAATTTACACTGTACATGATGAAACCAATATATGTATTCATTTTCAACTATCAATGAGAACTTTTGTCCGTGCTGTAGATGTTTTGATCGACTATTCTGACTTGGGCTTCCCATCTCTCTTATACTAATGTAGTGCCAGTAAGGGTGACGTATGGGAGAATTCTGCTTTGTAAAAGATTGCACGTTGTAGGATGCTACCAGGTCCATTACAGAAAAATGGGCAGACATCCTTATCTTTTCTACACTGTTTTAGAAAAGTACCTGGGGTTTAGAGTTTTGAATTTTCACTGTGGTGGTTTGGACCCCTTTTATATTTCCTAAGTTGATGTATTCTTACCCCCCATGAGTTACCAATCTCATGTCAACAAGTTTCTTAGATTTCTTGACTGCATTTTACTGAAAGAAAATTTAGTTTTACTTTCTTCTCTTCTACTGCTACGAGATTTTTATTTGGCTTCTTACTTTTTTACTATTTCAGGTGAAGATAATTAAATGTCTAGTGGAAAATATTGTGGTAGACATATCCTTTAATCAGGTTGGTGGTTTATGTACGCTGTGCTTCCTCGGAGAGGTTAGTATTTATTCTGAAATTTCTAACGTTCTGAGCTCTCATTGTATTCATTGAATTTGAAGAACAAATGAGAATAATTTAACGACATATTCTTCTGTAGGTTGATAATCTGATTAATCAAAATCATTTGTTCAAGCGTAGCATTATATTGATTAAGGCATGGTGTTATTATGAAAGCCGTATATTGGGGGCTCATCATGGACTTATTTCTACTTATGCTCTGGAGACTTTAGTTCTTTACATCTTTCACATTTACAACAATTCCTTTCATGGACCACTTGAGGTAGTTTTAATTACTATGTATGTCAAAAAAATTTGAATGTTAGATTGTACCTCTGAAGTATTTTATTTACACTCACAGGTCCTTTACCGTTTTCTGGAGTTCTTCAGCAACTTTGACTGGGACAAATTTTGTGTAAGCTTATGGGGACCTGTGCCCATTAGTTCACTACCTGATGTAACTGGTAAATTGTTGGGAACTTTTTATTTAATATGTTACAACTATTATATTGGACATGTTGGCTGATTTGTGATGTTTAATTTGAAATATTTTACAGCTGAACCTCCTCGGAAGGACAGTGGAGAATTGCTCCTTAGAAAATCGTTTCTTGATGCTTGTAGCTCTGTGTATGCTGTTTTCCCTGGTGGCCATGAAAATAATGGACAGCCATTTGTTTCCAAGCATTTTAATGTTATTGATCCTTTACGCGTGAACAACAACCTTGGACGTAGTGTTAGTAAAGGTACATGAAGCCTAAACTTTCCTATTGTTCTCTCTTTGTTTAAGCTTTGAAAATTGTAAAGATATGGTGTGTTTGATGGAAATTATTGAGGAAAGAATGTATTTTAAATAGTGATATGATGGGAAATATGTGGTTAGAAAGTAAGGAAAAGTTATTGATATAATGNGGAATAATAGATTGATGGAGAATGTGTGGTGGAAAAAGGAGGAAAAGTTATTGATATAATGAAAAATATTATATTATTGAAGAATGTGTGGTTGAAAATGAGTTTTGAAATAATGTATTTTTAGAGAATGCGTGTTAAACAGGGGCATAAAATTTTATTTTTCTGTATCTTTGAGCTCTTTACTGACTTGTTTATATTTGTTGTGACAACTACCTAACCTCTACCACTGCAAGAGAACTGTGTTATGTGGGCAATAAATAGGTTTCCACTGGTCAGCTTTGCCTTAAATGTGTGTATTCTTTTGAGTTTTTGATCAATGGCTGTTGCGTGCCAGCTTTCTCAATTTCCCCTTGTCTTTATTTAAATAATGTTCTAAGAATTTTACAGAGGGATGCCTTCGTCTAGTACTCATATAGTCTGTATGCACGCGGACCATCTAGTTTCACAAGCAAGTCTGAAAGGAAAAAGGTAGAAGAAACAGACTAACAACAGATAGGACGAGAAAGGAGAAATCCTCTTCCATCAAACCCTTTTTTTCGTTTTTATGTCTGTTGGTCTTTTTTTTTTTTTGGTTGGGGGGGCGCTGTGGTGGTTAAAAATTCACTTGAACTATAAGAATATAGCATGCTGCCTATTATTGACTAGGGCAAAAAAATATTACTAACGTTGTATTTGGTTCTGAGGGAAAAGACAGGAAGAGATGAGAAAGTAGAAATAGGACACTAGGTAAGAAAGACAAAGGAAGTCGGTTTCTTATCTTTTGTTTGGTTTTAAGAAGAAAAGTGAAGAAATTAAAATGGGTAAATTTTGTGGTCCCAAGAGGATTTTGTGAGGGAATTATTTACTCATTGTTTGACGAGTTTATATGTTGGGTTGAATCAAATTTTCAAAATCAGAGGCTTTAGCCAGATTTTTTGGTTGATTCCAATGGCAATTATGGCTAGTCTTGCTCTGGAATTGGTAGAATTGTGACTGTTGTCACTTTTATCCTTGCCAAATCACAATGAAAGATTTGAATAATGTGAAGTATCAAAGATTCTTTGAGAAATTACGTAATCTTTTTTCGATGTCAAGTTCAGTGGACGATCAGAAATTGATTTTAGGTCGCATTTGAACTGAATGGCGTGATGAAGAAGTATTTTTGTGTTTCATCTTGGTAATAGAGTATGAATGAGAACAGGGTACAAGGGAAGGGTGAGGGGAAAATTGGCGTGAGGGAAAATCTGTCTGTAACTTGAGGTGCTCACCAATATGCATACAGAATATGTTTCCGCCGTGCAGAAAGGGGTATGCACGAGGTCTTTTGACAGCTGGAGGAACCATATGATCTTGAACACTTCCATCCTCCAATGGGGAAACAAAAACGAAAAATAATAAACAAACTACCGTGTCCAAAGTCAATATGCTGTTTCGCTGTACACAATTTGAGCTGAATTGGACTATTCACTATGTAAATGGTCATGACAAGTCTCAGAGTTGCAGTCCAATACTGTTGATTTTGTATGTTCAGTATCAGTTTCAATTTGTCAAACTTGGTTCTCTCTGAATTCTTTTATCAAACAAATGTAGTCCTTTTTCTTTTTATTTTGCAACAGCCAGCATTATTCCTTTTGCAAAACCTAGATAAGGTACTTGCAGTTCTCGTATTTTTATTTCCTGTCTAAATTCACTGGTGGTTTTATTCTATATTTCTTGTGGGTAGGATTCATTTTCCGTTACTTCTTATAGTTTACTTGCAGCTGATAATTTTGTTTTCAGGTAATTTCTTTAGAATACGGAGCGCATTTGCTTTTGGAGCTAAAAGACTAGCTAGAATACTTGACTGCACCAAAGAAAATGTAATTTATGAAGTTAATCAGTTCTTCACAAATACATGGGAAAGGCATGGCAGTGGAAATCGGCCTGATGCACCAGGCGCTGATTTGTGGCGCTTGAGATTATCGACTCCAGAGAGCGTTTATGAATTTGATAATTCAAAGAATGACATGATTGGCAAAAAAATGAATGGCAGATCCTCTGGTAATTATTCGCCAGTAAGCGTGTCTAGAAAGAGTGAGTTGTCCGCAGCTTCTCAAACTCACAGCTTAAAAAATCACGTCATGTTGAGTAGCTTGAGGGGTTCTGGACAAAGTAGAAGAGACACTACTTCCAATCAGGTTGTGAATAACGAGAAAGGTCAGAGAGATCTAAAACCTGATCTTTTGGTGAATGACTTCCAGGGAAAGTTCCTTTTTGCCAGAACACGCTCAAGCCCAGAGCTTACTGATACATATAGTGATGTTTCATCTCAAGTACGGCATAATAGATCGACTGAAAGTGCAAAAGTGCATGCTGCTTCTGTACGGCCAGATAGTAGTAACAGGAGGAAGAACCATGGATCTGAAGGTTTAGCTTGCAATAACAGTCAATCCTCAGTTTACAATACTCAATCCGCTAGGCACATCCCATCCCGTCAAAGTCTAGACACTGCTGCTGACTCTAATAGTAGTTCACATAGCTATCAAAGAGACTCTGGTTTGGATGCATCAAATGAAGATCTTTCCTCGACCTCTGGAACCCAGGGGATGTACCAGGAAGAACAAGATTTTGTCAACATGATGGCATCTGCTTCGCTTCATGGCTTTAACGGTCAGCTTCACTTACCATTCAACTTACCATCTGGTCAAATGCCTTTCCCGATCTCACCATCCTTGTTAGCTTCAATGGGGTATGGTCAACAGAATCTACCAGGATTGCTTCCTACAAATATTCCTGTATTTGATCCTTCTTTTCCAAATTTGCAATTTCCTCATGGTCTGGTTTCACCCCCGTTCACTCATTATTTCCCAAGCATCGACCACGGGTCACGTTCTGAAGATGCACTGGAGCAAAGTAATGAAAACTTTGATGCTGTGGGAATGAACCCCATGGAAGCAGACGATGAATTCTTGCAGGAGCAGGATGTTGGCTCCACTAGTGGCTACGACCCTGATAATGGAAGTTTTGAATTGATGCAGTCCGATGATAAACCACAGGCTAGATCATCTAGTTTGAAATACACCCCTCCATTTCGAACAACTAGTAAACATACCAAAGAAAAACATGGATCAATGAGGGAGGATAGTAATAATTTCCCATTGCATGATATCAGAGGTAGCAAGGCTTACGGGGAAGAAAGACCTGCAGCTTCAAGGTTCCCTTCTGCTACTCGCAGTGGTTCTTCGAGAAGTAGAGCTTCTTCAGAGGGTTCCTGGGATGGACCATCAGTAAAGAACCCAAAGTCGACAAATGAAAGACGGGGAAAGAAAATAGTTGCTGCTGATCCGGTTATTGGCCATGGTAAAGGCAAAATTATGTCTGAACATACAACAAATCAGGCTGAAGATTATGATCAGGAATGGATTGCACTATCAAATGTGGGGACTGATATGGCAGAACAAAATCCGGTTTCTCAATCTATTGCATCTTTGCATGTCCCAAGGCATCCTGTCCCTGGCTTTGAAGTTGCTCAAACAAGTGGATCAGACTCAATGATCCCCGTTTCCCCAATGCTGATAGCTCCTGGTTCTAGACAGAGGATGATGGATAACAATGGGCTTGTTGCATTTTATCCTACTGGACCTCCAATCCCATTTGTAATGTTTCCAGTATACAATATTCCTCATGAAACAGGAATCTCTGATCAATCAACTGACCATTTTGGAGGTGATGAAAGCTTGGATAACAGTGACTCTGGTCAGAACTATAGTCCTGAGGGCTTTGACCAGTCTGAGGATTTAAATTCTTCTAGTTCCTTGAGGGGGACAACTACTATTGAGACATCTAATGAGCAAAAATTTGATATTCTCAACAGTGACTTTGCCAGCCATTGGCAAAATTTGCAATTTGGAAGGTTCTGCCAAAATCCACGCCCCCATGGACCTTTAATATATCCTTCACCTGTAATGGTCCCACCAGTTTATCTGCAGGGTCATTTCCCATATGATAATCCTGGAAGACCACTTTCAGCTAACACGAATCATTTCACTCAGCTAGCGAGTTATGGTCAACATATAGTTCCAGTTGATCCCCTTCAGTCTGTTTCCAGTAGATCTCCATATGTTCATCCAAGATACATAGATGATATGCCAAGATATCGTAGCGGGACTGGGACTTACCTGCCGAATCCTGTAAGATAATTTATCATACTTGTTCAGATACATGTTGGCTATAACATTTTTCAGATCTTATTTTCTTTTTGGGGAAGTCCTTCTGTGACTTTAAATTAGTTTTATCTTAGAGTATGTTTGGTGGTGCTTATAAGCAGTGGATAATAAGTAGATAGTAAAATGTGTGGATAAAAAGTGTGTTGACCAGCTTAAACTGTAATTTAAGCTTAGCCAAACCTGCACTTAGTATTCCACTCCCCAACACACAAATGGTTGTTACTTCCATTTCTCTCTACAAGAAAAAGGAGAACGTATACAAGTGTATGCTAAGCAGATAAAACTGCATTGAGCTTCATAAAAATCCATCCTAATCTGTTGTGGTAGGAAGGACTGCATGCTCCAGAAGTACTAAAGTAGGAAACTACTTTTAACCTTCAAGCAAGAAGTCTTAACACCTTTGGAAACTCTCCTGTTATCCTCTCTCAACACAACTTTCATAAGGGCATGCATATCAAGCACCTTCCAAGCTTGATACTTAGGCGAGAGGCGATGATTTCATATCTTTTTTCTATATGGCCTTAATGAGCGTACACAAATTAGTTTGTAACCAACTGTAGTTCAAAAGGTCATTAGGAGCCATTTCTACTTCTTAAGCCCTTGTTTGGGCTCCATTTTAATGAGATTTTGGGAAGAATGTATTTTGGAATAGTAATTTTTTGGAGAATGTGTCGTTAAAAAAGAAGGAAAAGTTTTGGGTTTACGTGTAATAATATTTTATTGAAAAATGTGTGGATTTATTAAAATTAAAATGGAGCCCAAACAGGGGCTAAGTGAAACCTAAATGTGTATTTTTGGGGCCCAAAAGATAATTATAACCAAGTACTTGGTTTTCTTGTTGATCTATAAAGACGAAGATTTTAAGTGAAATCTGTTCTCTTATTGTGTGTGTGGGTGTAAGAACCAAAACATTTGTCTATTGATTGTCATCTTCTAGTGCCATATTTGGATGTAAAGATGTTTTCATCGATACAAGTACTAATGATTTTATAATTATCACCTTTAATAACTGATGACATTTTCATTTTTCCATTATTGATTGAGAGGGTTGGCTGTAATGCAGAACAATTTTGCAATCCAAATTTGGAGGGTGAAAAGAGAAGGAACGCGTGTTTGTTTTTGATATGAAACATGTCCTAATTTTGTATGCTATCACGAATAGTAAGTTGTAAATTAATTGAGCCTTGTATCAGGTCCTCTTGCCATGAGTAATGGCATGGACAGCTTTGTGGAATGATTTCATCATTTTTACTGTGATGCCAGGGTTTAGATTAACTTTTGCGCGTGGGTATGGAACTGGCCTCTGAAATTTAGAAAAATGTATTCTTTCAATAACTTTGTAAATTAGTTTGCTTTGACTGTATACTTGGCTTCTTTTGTCTTGCGCTTCTTGTCTGGTTCTCTAATATTCTCTTAGTAACTGGTTTACATTTTGCTTTAAGGGCACTGCCCACTTCAGTAGTTGCTTTTGATTGTTTTAAATTTCATTGCTTCAGAAGGTTTCTGTAAGAGAGCGACACTCTTCTGGCACTAGAAGGGGGAATTACAACTATGATAGGAACGATAACTACGGTGACAGAGAGGCTAACTGGAATGCTAATTCAAAATCACGAGGTGCAGCACGAAGCCACAATCGCAGCCAAACTGATAAATCAAACTCGAGAATGGACAGGGTGGCTTCCAGTGAGAATCGAGCTGACCGATCATGGTCTGTCCCTTCTTACCAATCCCAGAATGGTCCATTGCACTTGAATTCTAGCCAAAATGGTCCTAATATGGCACATGGCATTCATTCTTTTCCGGTGATGAACCCCAGTGGAGTGTCTTCTAATGGACCTTCCGTCCCACCGGTCATGATGCTTTATCCTTTTGACCGCAACACTACTTATGGTTCTTATGGTGAACAGCTCGAGTTTGGGTCTCTTGGCCATGTAGGTTTTTCAGGTACAAGTGAACAATCACAGCCAAGAGAGGGAAGTCGAGGAAGGACATTTGAGGAACATAGATTCCATGGGGACTCTGGGCAACGTTCTTCACCAGATCGACCATCCTCTCCTCATCATCAGAGGTAAGAATCATGCTTTGACTAGTGAAATTTTTATATAATCATTCAAGAAAATGGACATACTCAGTTTGGTCGAGTCAGCAGGTAACTGATCGTGTTAAGTCAGATGTTTAGTCTATATTTGTCCTGGCTTTGCAAATTTGTTGCTTTAGCCAATCCTAAGAACATGGGTGAACTGATAATTACAAAACATGCTCTCTTCAGATAAATAACACGTACAGATGTGTAATGGTTCACAGTATATGTATTTAGGTGAATCGCTTATAGGTGACTGGATGAGCTGGTCGGGGGCCACATTTGTATCACAGCTTGAACGCTGATCAGAGTGGGATTTTTTTTGTTTTCTTTGTTTTAGTGAAATGACATGATGGTGGAGTTTTTATTAGAAGCAAATAAAATTAAACGCCATAGGTAGGAGATAGGCCTGACCTACCATGGATTCGAAGCTAAAGTACACCTTAGGGAAGAGGAAGATCCAACCTTCCACAGGCAACAAAACCTGACAACACAAAAGGGTTGGAGACTGAAGGACAAAAGGAAACCTGACTGAAGGGCTTGAAGCCCAATACACGAATTCTTAGGACAATGCACTAGATGTAGCATAGTACAAGAATTGTAAGTATTCCTGATATAAGGTCCCATATGATTAAAATGTCCTTCCACTTTTCTGAGTGATATTTCTTCTGTCACCTTTTTCCTCTGCCGGTCCATTATTTCATTTTACTTTTTGAAAATAAAGCTGGTCATTAATTATTATGCTCTTACCGATCTAATATTGCTATGACTGCTTTATGCTGATTGGCTAGGTACAAATTGCTCAGGAATTACAATAGTTGTATGCAATTAATTACTCCTACTACCTAGCTTTTTTCATGACATGCTTGTTTTGTACAGTGTCTGTATTTTTTTGTCGCTGCAGATCATTTTATTGTTTCACAGCAAATTTTCACCAATATATTTTGTGACGGTGCATCCTCTTAACAGGAGAGTTTGATAAATTACCAAGATCAATGACCTTAAGGATCCATCAGTCAAAGTTTGTTCGGTGAACCAGGAAGAAAATGATGGAAGAAGAAAAGAACATAATGATCATCCTGTAACCGCTGCTTGTTATATGTCAACTTTTTAACATAGTACTTTGTATGTACAATTCCTAGTCAATTTCTAACCACAGTAGGAAGAAGGGTGTAGGACTCATTTAGATTTTCGGTGTTTTTCTTGGCTCTTTCCTTAATAGGGTCAAAATATTCTAATTTCATTGAAGTAGGAAGTCTTCGATGCTGGAATTCGTCTTTAAAGTAGGAATTTTTTAGTTAAGCCATAGTTTTGTACTACAGAATCCCTTTGTATTAATGCTGTGTTGAATCTTGGTTAGGAGATTTAACACTCCAGCAGCATGAATGGGAAAGTTGAATTTAGAAATCTATAATCTACTTAATGTTTTCCCTTTTTATTTCACTAAATGAATGGATCGACAGGAAGATGGGCTGAATTGGATGGTATTGTAAATATACAAATTAAGAAATGGGGAAACTGAGAATGATGGATGTTAAGGATTTGATTTAGGCATTTTTTTATAATTTTGAGATGTTAAGCACTGAAGGGAATGAAGTTTTGAAGTTGATTATTAATTTGGAATAAATATGTAAATTTAATGCTAATCTAGAACTGATGGTGTTAGAGCTCTGGTAAAATATGATAAGTTCAATTAAGTTTGATAAAAGTGGGCAAATTCCATGAAATGTATATTAACAAAGCAGATAAAAATTGTAAGTTCAATTAAATGTGATTGAAAATAATTTTTGATTAGCTTCTCAACAAACAAAAACTTTATGATAAAAAGCAATTAAATCATGTTTATGAAGTGTTTATAAGCATGTTTGGTTTAAAACTAAATAGAAAAGAATAAAAAATATGTGGATAGTACTTACAAATCCCACAAAATGTATAGAATGTGTAGTAAAAAAGTAGATAAGAATTATAAGTTTAATTAAATGTGATTAAAAATGAATTGACTAGTTTTTCAACACAAACTTTCCAATAAAAAGCACTTGAAGAATGTTGAGGAAGTGTTTATAAACACGTTTGGTTAATAAATAAATAGAAAAGAACAAAGAATATGTGGAAAGTGCTTATGAATTTCTCAAATAGTAAAAAAGTAAATAAAAATCGTGAATTCAATTAAATGTGATTAAAAATGATTTCTGACTAGCTCATTAGCAAACAAAACCTTTACAATTAAAAAAAAAAACACTTGAAGGGTGTTTAAGAAGTGTTTATAAACAAGTTCGATTTATAAATAAATAGAAAAGAATAATAAATGTTTGAATAGTGCTTATGCATCCCACAAATTGTGTAGATAAAAAGTTACTTCAAACATGAGCTTAGTAACACTGCGTAATTGGAATGGATTTCATAGAAAGAATCAAACCATATTTCTGCCAGAAACGTTAGGTGAATTTTGATTTTGTTTTAGTTCATCAAATTGTCAATCAATCGTAATGTATTGATGTGACTAAGAAAAATCATTACATTTGCATCAAAGCAAAAAATATAATACTACTCAAAGAAATCAAAATTGAAGGGACAACAAACATAGATACATAATCTACCTAGAACGCAGTCCGGGGATATTCCTAAGGCCCATTTTGCCAAGGACTAGCTTAGGAATGGCTGGAGGAATGTCGAGCCCCATGGTTCGACTGAACTCATTCGCAAGCTCTACAAGTCTGCACTTGTCTCGACCCACATTCTTATTAGAATTGTAATATCCAAGCCATGCCTGGTATGCTGCTTCTTTGTTCTTCATCTCTATGTGGGATAGTGCACGTTCGACCTGTGCATACCACAAATTTTTTGCCTTCAGATATCACTGTAGATACTACATGACTTCAAGAAAGTAAATGCAGCTTTTATTGAACAAAACATATTTATAGATCAAAATCGGTTTGGGACTAAGGGCCCGTGGCTCGGGGTTTCTACTTGTAGAAGAACTTCTTGAAAAAATCATCTCAGGCCAACTTCCTCTAAAAGTTCTTCTAGCCAGACAAAATAGATTCAAAAAAATCATTCAAGCAAGTCTAAAAGCAGCTTTTGACTCTTAAAAATCCTTGTCAAACGGACCTTGACAGTGAAATTCTCCAATTAAAATATGCTCATGCCAACTTTTGCATGATGTGATCAGCTCACAATTACTGGACAAGAACTTAACTATTTGCATGGCCACATTTTATTCAACACTCACCTTCTTTCTCGTCTCTGGATCTACTAGCGGTTCGGGTGCCTTTGTCAACGGTAAGTCCTTAATAGTAGACAAAAAGAATTCTTCCCAAGGTGACAACAACAATATGCCCTGCCCTTCTTTACCTTTACGTCCAGTTCTACCAAGTCGATGTATGTATTGCTGTCTATCAGCTGGCACCCCAATCTACAGTAGCAACAATAGTTATATCAATCAAGGCTGCCCATACATGCATGGGTACAGTTCTATCGATAAATTTCAATAAAATTCTAATGTAGCTCTTTTGTGCAATCGCTGGGTCCGAGATTTAATAACCTTTAACACCACACAAACACCTCAATTTTTTTATTACTACTTTAGATATGTCGAGAGAACACGGGAAGGATTGGGGTGAAAAGGGATGAAGTTCATTCTATAAGAAAATTCAACTAATATATTTACCTGTACAACAAGAGTAACATCTGGATAATCCACTCCACGTGCAGATACATCAGATGTAACAAGAATGAGACCTTTTGACTTCCGGAATTCGTCTGAAACTCTAGTTCTGTAACTTTGCGGTTTTCGAGAATGAATTTCCCGGACATTCATGTTAAGCTCATTAAGAAGTTCAGCAACAAGCCTTGTGACCATTGCAGTTGTGCAAAAAACAAGAATCTGTAATACACGAGCATAAGCATGGGGGTTTAGTTGATATTGTCAAAAAAAAAAAAAAACAATACCAATAACCACAGACACAGTAAAGAGTCTCACGGAAAGATTAACATCAACTGGTAAGAAGAATTTGTGTCATTGTCATAGGAAACCATCTAAACTGGTTAGACTTCTCCAATTTCTATCTTTTGCAGTCCCTCTTTTTTTATTGCTTTAAATAACTCTATTTGCTTTCAGCAGTAACCACATACTCTATATATGTTTTCACATAAAGACTGCCATAGACATATCTACTGTTAGGGTTTGGACTATAATACCTTGTAATTAACATCATCCGCAATATGATCTTTCAGCAGAGAATAGAGAATCGAAAAGTGCTTGTCCAAAGGAGCAACCAGATGCATCTGTCTGACCTGAAAGATTTTCACATCATGGCAAACAATGTGAGTGCAACTAAAAGAAAATCAAAAAGCAAATTAGATAACAAAATGCATTTCAAATAAAGCAGTACCTTTGCATGTGTCTCCTCACTTCCTTCTTGTACAGTATTGATGAACTCATGGTCTCTTTTCAAAGCAATATGGCAAATTTGACGAACCTGCAATACAAACAGCATTTATAATTTCACAAATTTGACATGAGGTGTCGCATCTTAATATAATGGAAATTACCTCTTGTGGAATTGTGGCAGAAAATAAAAGCGTCTGACGCTGTTTGGGAACAGCAGCTATGATTTTCTCAATATCTCTGCGGAAACCCATGTCTAACAGATGATCAGCTTCATCAAGGACCAAGACTTTGACGCCCATCAGCCGAGTAGCAAATCCAGCTGTATTCTCAATATGATCTTTTAGCCTTCCAGGTGTAGCTACAAGAATCTGAATTTTTAATATGAAAATACATTTAGTATTTAATAAGAAAATCAAGATATTTCCTGTCAAGCATAATAGGTGATAGGCATGCAGCATTCTGAATCTACTGCCTTCTGTGTCAGGGAGGGAGGGTATGGAGGTTCTGAAACTAAGAATAGATAGAAAGCAAAGAGTTGGAACTCAAATCATGGGTATCAAAACAAAGAGGTTAATGAGAGATTTTTTTATCTGATTTTTAAATAAGAGATCGTGTCACACTGAGAATCCCAGTCTGTACTCTGCATCATAGAGGATCTAGAACCATGACATTTATGTATAGTTTACCCATCACTAAGAAAACTCAAGCAATGATACCTGGCATGGGTTTGCTTGCATTCGTTTCTGTTCTAGAGTAAGCCTTGTGCCTCCTATAACAACTTGAACACCAATAGAAGGATGATACTTCAACAGGTTGTTAGCCTCTGCAGCAGCTTGACTTGCAAGCTCACGAGTTGGGCAAATGACAAGCACAAAAATTGGAGTTCTCTTTTGATCACGATCCACTGGTGGTAATTTTACAACAACTTCAATCGCAGGAAGCTGAAATTGAGATCTCAAACATAAGTATGATCAAAGACTCACCATGTCTTACATACCCCAAAGATCTAAAACCGTTGTATTTCTCCAGTTCTCGTCCCATAATGTTCCTTACAAACTAGAGGCTAAAACCAACAGAAAAGAAGATGGGCAATGCTTATGATTTATTACATCCATAATTCAACGTTGGTTCCAAGCATATAAATTCCCTTTCCTTCTTCATTGCGTAGCTAACATATGATAAAAGACACGACAAAGAGAGGAAAATCCAAAGGGATGCAAAGACAACAGATATTAGCACTAGTGTAGTATATTTAAAAAGAAAGCATGTATTCGTTCCCCAAATTTGGGATCTGCAAACAAAATACGTAATCCTTATGTCAAAAAGCACTAATCATTATATAAAAGAAAAAAATATCTTACCAAAAATGCTACCGTCTTTCCGGTGCCAGTTCTTGCCTTGGCCATCACATCCTTACCTAAAAAGACATAAATTATTAAGTGCCAATGCTCGCAATTGATAAATCAAATTAATTCTTCACAGAGGGGTGAATTATAACAGTTCAGAAAAAGAAAAAATGAGTTGTGGTTAAAAAAGGGATCTTCTACATCTTCTCATCTGAGACCATTTGATATGGTACACAAGTCAAAACACCAGAATGCCAAATCTACAAGATGAATCTGGCAACAGTAAGACAAAAAAAAAATTTTGATAACCGTGGATGTCCCCGGGCCAACTTGCGCACACCTCGACTAACCCCATCGGGCCCTGAAGTTTACGGTTGGGTACACACCTCAGTGGCCTTGAGGGGACTCGACCAGTCGAAGTTACTTCATGATCCAAATCAGTAAATTGAGTACTAATCCTGATAAGAACGAAAGAAACTAGAATGGCTGTAGAAAAAATTTCTAGAACACGCAGACTTTTCATCTATTAGTAATTTTGACTTCTTATAACCAACCGTCAAAAAATAACTTCTGACAATAAAAAATGAACAAAATTGTAGCTAATTTTCTCTTTTAAGCTTCTAGATTATGCTCAGACCTTTAAGAATAACAGGAAGAGTTGCCTCCTGTACCACAGTCATCTTTTCATATCCGACATCTTTAAGTCCTTTCAGAGACAATGGAGAGATGGAACATTGATCGAACCTGTATGGCATACACGTATTACTATTTAAGAAATCCATGAACAAGGATGGAGATATGAAAGCCCTAAAAACTAAATTAACACAGGAAAAGTCACCTGCACAAAGCTTAACGACGAAGCTCAAATGCAAAATTTATTCACTGGCTGTTCTATTAAAGGTCAAAGATGAATTTAGAGGATCACTGAAAAGCATGCTAGATTGGCATCTCTTCAGCCACGTACTTTGTGTCATTACTGTTGTCATCACAATGCTTTTAAACTAAATCAAATAACCTTCCCTTGTGGAGGTTGTAGATGGTATATTCACACTACGAGATCCACTTTCGCCCTTTTTTGATTATTTGATCGTATAATCAGTAAAAGGCATCTATCTTCTGCCAAGAGACCGAACATTCTCGTCCTTTCTCATTTAACATGCACAAAAAAAGAAAAGTAATTGATCAAATGTTAACATGTTACCTGCTTTCACTAAGATATGTATCACTTCCCCCAGACGAGCTTGGAGGTGATTGAGACAAAACGTTTTCCTTCTCAAACAAGCCATCAACAATATTGTCTTCCTCCTCGCTCTCATCTTCATCCTCATCCTCATCCTCATCCTCATCTTCATCGCTATCAATCAACTCTTTGAAACTACTATAGCTCTCGACCTCTTCTTCCTCATCTGTAACCACCAAACCTCTTTGTGGTACTCTCTTCCCTTCTCTCTGCATTCCCACGCCACCACCTCTATCCTTCCCATAACCCATTTCAGACCCTCTAGCACCTCTCCTTTTCTCTCTACTGTCATTCCCCTTTCCTAATTCTCGCCCTGGAAACCTATCAACCGAACCCCAACCCTTTCCCCGGCTAGTAATACCGCCATTCCTCTCATTCTTTCTATCCAATTCACTACCAAACTTCCCTTTCCTGGAGGACTCGCTCGAATTGCGGGTTCCACCTTGCCTATCAAATGACCTAACCGAACCCCAACCATTTCCCCGGGTAGTGATACCGCTGTTCCTCTCATTCTTTGTCTCTAATTCACTGCCAAACTTCCCTTTCCTCAAGGAATCGCTTGAATTGCGGGTCCCAGTTCGCCTATCAAATGACCTACCGCCATTTCGGTTCTCCTCCAATCCACCACCATATCCCCCTCTTCCCCTAGAAACTGGCTTTTCCAACCCACGGCCCCCACTACCACCCCTACTCGGAAAATCAAAATCATCACTATCAAATTCACTCTCTTTCCTCCTCTTCTCACCCCTCACTCTAATCCCATATCCTCCATTATCACCACCATTATTCCCATCCACATCACTATCTTTCCTAAACGAGTTAGAACTCAACCCACTGACCCAGTCACTGAGTTCCGCCTCATCCTCAATCAAGCTCTTCGCGGCCCTCACCTCGTTGCCCGAACCCGGTCGTGCCCGTCCGGAACGAACCGAAAATTTACGAACCCCAACCTGGGTTGTCAGGACCCCCTTTTCTTGATAGCAGGCTAAAAATGGCGGCTCCAAAAAACGGTACTTGAGTTTCTGGGGGAAGATCTGGGGGAAAACGGGAACAATCCGAGTAACAGGCAGGCCATATTTAGCGGTATATGAGGTGGATAGACGGGCTACCGGGAGCAAACCGGTGCGCAATGAGAAAATTTTGACTGGCATGCTATCTGAGAGAGAAGAGGACGACAGGGTTTAAGCCTTTTTCCCTCTATGGAAATGGAGGGTTTAACGAGGGAGAGCGAAACGCTAGGGATAAGGCTGTGCGTGAGTGGAAATTTCACCATTGGTCTCAAATCTATTCGTATTATAATAAATTGGTCCTCATAAAATGTTGTTCCCTATTTGTAAAGACAATGCAATACTGCAATTGGGAAAAAAAAAAGGCAAGTTGATCGTCAACTTTTCAATTTAATTAAACAACCAGCAACGATGGGAATAATTGTAATCTTTGTTAAATTATCACGTGATCCATTACAAATTTCTCATCGCCAACACTCGTTGGAAAGCAAAATCTAACTTGTAAAGTTGAAAATGATAAGATCACTTTATGATATAACTTTAGGCCATGTTTGATACAACTTATTTTTCATAAAAGTTTAAAATATTTTCCACTTTCCACATTTTTAATTATTTGATGGGAAAAAAATAATTGCTAGGAATTCCTTCTCTCCCTTCCCCTCATGCGCCCATTTTTCAAGAAATGAAGGAAAAAAATTTCTTTTGTTTTGGGTGGGTTTTGGTTTTCCTGGCTGCTGCTGCATTTTTTTTTTTAGGCAATTGGAAAAAATTTTAAACATAATGATAAAGAAATTTATCACTTCTATTGACAATTTCCATGCAAAACAAAGTCAAACGAATGATATTCGGTATGATAATTTTATAAATTTTTTGAAAATTGGAACAAATTTTAGACTCAATTATAGAAAAAATTATCACTTTAATGGACAATTTTCATGAAAAACAAAGTCAAACGGACACCAAACTTTCAACATTTTTCAGGTGAAAAATTATACCAATCAAAAGCAATTAATTACAATTCTCAGTAAAATAATATTTAGGCAATTCAATTCCTTGAAATTCATTTTCTTTTCACCAAATTTTTATTTTTGTAATTAAACGGACCCTTAGACTTTTCCATAATTAGACAATGTCTGGTTGTGCAACCAGAGACTGGGAAAACCAACTCAATTTTTTTTAAAATTTAGATCAATTGGATAATGAGTCAGCAATTAAAATGGATAGTAAGGAGAGTAGCCCGAACATGGAATTCAGGTCAAAATAAGAAGAACATAGCTCTAACCATGAGTTATTTAGGCCCTGTTCGGGAGGGATTTTCATTTTTTACAGTAAATCAATTCTCATTTTCAACCACACATTCTTTAATAAAATAATATTTTCCATTACATCAACAATTTTTTCTTCTTTTTTAACCACACATTTCCCATTATATCACTATTCAAAATCAATTTTTCCCCAAAAAAATCTATACCAAACAAGCTGTTAGTAAGCTTACCATGACAATTCAATTATTTTATTTAAATATAAATATATGAATTATAATTATAATTAGTAATTAAATGAAAAAAAAATAGTGAGGCAATGATAAACGATGTACTTACCACATGTGTAGTATGATGAAATATAATATGCAATTCAAACAATCGACAAATTTAAGTTGCGAGTCGGAATCTAAATATTAGCAAAAAGACAATGTAAAATGAAAACTTTAAATTGTCAAGTGTAGAATAATTGAGCAAGTAGCAACATTATAAATATGAAATCAACCTTTGAATAATATCATGAAATTTAATAAAAATAAATAAATAAATTTTACAAGTTCCCGATTTTCATTATTTTTATTGTTATTATGTGAAATTAAAAAATTAAAATTAAAATCTTCATATCAGTAGAACTTATGATAGCCATTGGGTTAGACCCCAATTATTACTGATCCAGCCCATTGGACCCTATATGGAAAAATGGTAGCCCGTACAAAATACTTCACAGAGCAGGCAGTGTACGTGGGATGGCATAGCCCCTGTTTGGGCTCCATTAAAAATATATTTGAAGAAATTACACAAATCCAGATATTTCAATATCACATTTCAAAATCAGATTTGATAAAAAAAATTCAAAAATCAGGTATCAATTTAAACTTTTTAATATCTTAAAATTAAATTACCTTCATCCACCCAAACCCTAATTATTCATCACTCCTCCTTCTCTCTCTCTCTCATTCTCTCATATTCTCTCCCTTCTCTCTCTTCTTTACCCGATTTACACATCTTCTTCTCTCTACATCTCTCTCTTCAAACGTCGGAGACCGATGAAGGAATTGCGTTAGTCTGCTACGTTGCGGCATCAAAGGCTGCCGCTGCTATTAACGACGCTGCAATTGCTACATCGCGACGCTAATATACCGATGTCTGTGCAAAGGTTGCTGCTGTTGTTTGATATACTGATGTATGTCGCGACGTTGCAATCGCTCCATCTATTCATCACGACGCTTCGTCGACAGTGGTTGTAGTGAGTTTTGTGTAGTGGTGGTGGTAGTGTTTTGTGTGGTGGCGGTTTTGTGGTGGTAGGTGGTGGCGGCAGTTTGTTTGAGATGGAGATTCCGGTCATTGGTGTCATGAGATGGTGGGGTTTCTAGCTACATTGGTGTTGGTATTGATGTTGGTGTTGGTGCAATAGTGGTGGTTCTGGCTACGCCAACAGTGCACTAGAGATTTGGATAGTGTTTTTGTGTGGTGGTGATGGTAATGGTGATATTTTGTGTGCTGGTGGCTGTGGTGGTGTGTAGTAGGTGATGTGTGGTGTTGTTTTGGCGGTGTTGGCGATATGCGGTGTTGTTTTGGGAGGGTTTGGTTGACATGTGACCAAGTATTCGTGGTGGATCGAGATCACAAGTGGGGTGTTTGGTGTATGTGACTAACTATTTGGTTTAATGTGACTAACTACTAAAATGTGAGTGTGACTTTAAAATTCGATAATTTGTGACCAACAAATTTGAAAATATGTAACTGATGGATAAATTGTGACCTATAATTTTTTTGATCTATAACCAATGAAATAAACTGTGAAGTATAAATTTTTTAATTTGTGACCTCGAAATAATTTGTAACCAATTAATCTGATAATATGTGACTAGTAAATAAATTGTAACTCGTAAGTATGCATCTGTGACCATGAAATATTTAATTAATAAAATATATTTAGTTAATTAACTAAATACCTGATTTTTGCATTTTAAAAACTTAATACCTGATTTTTGCAATTGTAAAAGTTAATATCTGATTTGTGAACTCTTTCCAATATATTTTGTAATAGTAAAATTTCAGTGAATATGTGGTGAAGAAATATATAAAGAAAATTGAATTTACTTATAATAATATTTATTGAAGAGCCTATAGTTAAAAATAAGAAAGAAAAATACATTTTTTTTAAAATGAAGTCCAAACAGGGAAAGTTATCGTCAAAACTCGTGGACTAGGGTTTTCAATAGTGACACAACACTATTGTTTGGGAATAATTAAGCCTTAGTTTGACCCCAATTTATATTATAACACATTTTTCTCCCTTTTCTTTTCAATTATATACTATTCGCTAAAAAAAATATTACACTAAACCCAAAACCATTTATTTCTTTTTCAACCACCCATTATTCAAAATACTATTTCAAAAAGTATATCACCAAATAATAGGAGCCAAACAAGGATAAAATTGGTATTTGGTAGTAATTAAAACATAACTTTAGATATTTATATAATATAATTAATAATTTTAAATTCTAGTGAAAAAGAATAATATTATTCATCCCCACGGGTGGTAGAGCACCATTTTAAGTGGTTATTGATTTAATTAAATGAATCATTTGACTTTGCATTTAAATGAATATATCATTTAATGACATGTAATTGTAACCTAACTTAGTGCTTAATATCAATGGAGATGAATAACATTATTCAATTGAAAATAGTTTGCAGATTAAATAATCCAGTTCATTATTAAAACGATTGGTCGCATTTATTGTGGTAGTAATTAACACTACACATCATGCGACGATGTGAATCAAGATCAATTTAAGAGTGTGCTTGAGTCTCATTAAAATGTTAAGAATGCATTTTGAAATAGTAGATTGATGGAAAATGTATCGTTAAGAAATAAGGAAAATTTTTGAGTTTATGTGTAGTATTATTTTATTGAATAAGTGTAATTGAAAAAAAAAAAGGAAAGAGAAAAATATATTTTTTTAAAAAATGAAAATCAAACAAGGGCTCAAGCTAAATGGGACCGTTCTTCGTTTGAAATCAATTGGTGCGACCAAATGTTGCCACAAAAGCTAAGGCTGAGGTTAGACGTTTCAACATGAGATCTGTGTCTTTCCCTTTCTTGGTTTAGATAAAATTAATTTTTTATTAAATTTTAATAAAAGTTGACAAAACTTGAATAGAAAAGTTGATAAATTTGCCGATTCCATGAAATGTGTACATGAAAATAAATTAAAAAAAATAAAGATCAAACATGAGCTTAGAGTATGGACAAGATTAAATGAAAATGAGGGTTTACGACCTCCATATTGTGGTCCTGAGTCCTAACTAATAATTTAAATAATGGAAAAATTACCTTAAACCCTAGTTTTTAAGTTAACATTTCAAAAATAAGGGGAGAATGTTTAAATTTCAAAATTCAGGTGTTTAATTAATATATTATTATTTTTCAAAAAAAAAAAAACTAATATATCATTAAATTCTTTAATTAGAAAGCACCCTACCTACCTCCCTCCACCCCCGTCATTTCCCCCAAATTG